CTTGTGGCTGAACCGGGCTGCATACTCCCGAATGAGTTCGTCCTCGCCCTGCCGAAGCATGTACAGGTCGTTCGCGGAGTATAGGCGATCGGTCTGAATCATGAAGTGATCCAGGAAGGTCTGCTTCAAACTATCAAATGAGTTGATGATGCGGGGGTTCAGCCTGTAGAACCAATTCAGGGCCGCGCCACTGAGGATGGAAGGGAAGATGAGGCACATGCCGTCATCACTAAGGCCCTTGCACCCGAAGGCAGACTGGAAGGAGTGGATGTGGATGAGAGGATCCTCTGTGCCAGTGTAGAAGGCTATACGGAGAGGTTGGATGTCCTTCTCCTGGTGATAATTGAGGATGCGTTCGGTAAAGGGCCGAGGTCGTGGCTTTGCCCAGAGGGGCTTGTGGCTGCGCTACTGCTCGCTCTCCAGGCGCCGAACCTTCTCGAAGAGAAGCCTCATGGCCGGGTAGGCATGAGGGAGAGTCTCGAGTGCTGAAGGCCTGAAGGGTGAGGGAACAGGAGCTGGGGAAGGTTCTCGTTCTTCAAACGCCTCGGTGTGATAAAATTCTCAGTCTTCTGGGTCATAAAAGTCCCAGTTATCCGAGTCCCCTGCACCTTCTCCAGTTGGTAGGTGTGTGGGCTTCAATGAGGGACCTAGGTGTGTCACCCTTGGGTTCCTAAGTTTAACAGGGATAGGTATATGTTCTGTCTGACGGTCTAAGAGACGGTCCCTACAATCCTTGTAGACCTTCGTCAGTTCATGGGGCTGGTCCTTCGGTGGAGTGATGTGAAAGAGTCGCGGCTTAGTTGTCTCTGGGTAAAGAGGGCCTTTACCCTTGCTGAGCCTGGATTGGACTGGGGCGCTATGGTGAGAGGGCACGGGCTGGTTCGGTTGGATATGCTCAACATCTTAGGTAACGTCATGCTAGGAGCCTTGGGCCTAAGACTTTTCCCAGTTACGCTTCAAGGTGCGGTAGTCATGCTTCAGCTCAACGCTCCTGGTATGAAGATGTTCATATTTCTCGGACATCTTGGCGACACTAGCTCAGAGGCGTTCTACCTCTGCCTGGAGATTGGTATCTGCTGAAGGTTTCTTTTGGGAGGTGTCCCCGCGGGGGGTATGATGATGAGTATCTTGGCTATCCTCGGTCGGCATAGCTGAGCGTGGGGTGAAGAAGAGGCAACGGGGCTTGATTGGAGAATGAGCTAATTGGGCTGGTAGAGAGAAATGAGATTCAAGTATCGATTCCCACAGACGGCGCCAAACTGTTGATGCTCCTTTTGAAAGGTCAACTTAGAAAGCAGTGGATTGTCTTTAGCAGTGGAGAAGGTTTAGGGTTTAGAGTTAATATGCTGCATATGCTCGGTTGATTATGGTGCAAACACTTCTTATATTGCCGCTTTGTGTCTTGTCTTTGATATATATATATATATATATGTATATATACAGTCCCCTTCTATTGAGGGATCCCTCAAATAATTTTATTTGAGGGACGCCCTTTAGGGTAGCCTACAATCTTTTTTTTAATGATCCAAACTATCTACTTTTTAGGTATTCATTCATAGATCATCCTTACAAAAAATTAGACAAATCGGAAACCGTTTCGACATCCAATTGTGTCCTACAAAATCAACGAACACGTTGCTTCAAGAAAGTACTAAAATTTCAATAACTCAATTGAGTGGTCAAATGATATCGGATTCAAGTGATTTTTTGTAGAGATGATCTTTGAATGAATATCTATAAAATAGACTGTTTGGATTAATGAAATACAATCCGGAGTGGGGCCTACAAGGAGTGTCCCTCAAATAAGCTTGTTTGAGGGATCCCTCAATAGAAGCTCTCTGTATATATATATACAATTACATATTTTTGTTATTTTTAAAGTGGTTTATAATTTTTTAAAATTATTTTTATAAACTTTGTGAAATCTAGTGATTAAATTAGCTAAATTTGAAACGCAATAATAAACTATATTTCGGGCATAAAGACATTGACCAAAAAGGTATTGAACTCACCCAAAAAACACAGCCAAGAGTATGGCTGCAGATATTTGAAATTTGACTTGAGGCTCATAATATTCAGGTGGTCATTTCATTTGGTACTTAATGAAATTATTATGGGGAGTGAGGACCATGCACAAGTGGCGGACACCGAGCAAAGTGGTAGGGGAAGAAGCTGCACTTGAACTAAGGGAAAACTCGTTTGGCTTTTTCTAGGAAAAATACAAGATTTGGAAACCCCCCAAAAGCCATGGATTTTAACGTTTTCTGCTTTTTCACATTCATATATAACTCTTTTAGGGGGCATTTCCTATAAATAGAACTTTCATATTGTGTTCCATGTATGTTGTCAAATTCATTAGTGCAGGATAACTAAAAAAGCATATTGTACAGTAAGGCAGTGATTTTTACACTCCACGTTTATTCTCATGCACTCTTTCTTCCTTTTAAAAGTATTTTATATCATTTTCTTGTTTACATTCTCATTTATGCTTCTTTTTAAAAAAAAAAAAAAATTTTAACTAATCATTTTTACGTTGAGTGGGTTATTGCAGCGAGATGTGAGACTACCATCGGACTCAGGGGTGTGGTTGGGTAATTTTTATGCACTCACAAGTAGAGTGCATAAGGATAACATAGGAGTGTACCAATGAGGTATTAGTTGGATTGGGCAATGCCTTTGGTTTGATCCCAAATGGATGAGAAAAACTCTCATGGAACGAGAATAGCACTTTTTGCTATATTTGGCCAATAACGCAATAACACGTAGGATAACTTTTCCACATATCATTGTGTCATTAGCCGAGGATAGCAATATAGTGTTATCCCTATTATAGGTAAGTTTTTTCCCAAGTGGACGTTGGTTCAAGTCCCTATGGTACCCGTGCATACGGCTTTCTCCTCACATTCCTAACTTTGACCCCAAAAAAAGAAAGTAAAATGATAACAAAATTAAAGGATAAAATTGGTAAGACAAGCTACAAAAACAATTAATTCGAGTTTGGTGGTCTTAGGGGAGTCTTCATTTATTAACATTATCTGGCTAGAAAAAAGAAAATTTGAGTTTGTAGAAATTGATAATTAGATAAATTTATTTTGAAAGTGAACTTTATTGTATCTCAAAATTAGAAATTATGGGATTGGCTAAATTAATGAAGTGTCAAAGTTTTTTTTTTTTTTTTTTTTTTTTCCATTGGAGCTTGGCTAAAGTTGAGCATTGTGGATGAGAAACCATCTCATTCATTGCATTTGCAAGCCTAGGACGAGTTAGGAGGTTCAGGAGGTCCCCCACCCTCCTTGTCGCCCATGCTTTCTTGGTATTTAATTCCTTCTACCATACGGCAGATGATATCTTTTTACTGTAGAGCGGCGGCTTTTTAGTCTGTCTCTGCAACTTGGCTTCACACTCAATAATGAAACATCACTTTAAAAAATGAAAAAGAAAAGCCAACTCTAAATAATTATGTTTAATATATATCCATCAACAGTCACAGTCATTTCACATCAAGGGCGAAGCCATAGAAGTGCAAGGAGGTGCAATATAGCTGCATTCTTTACTCATCCAAAAAACCCTTGGAGGTGTCAGAATTTGCTCCTTTGCTAGTGCCTACTAACTGTTCGAGTAAACGCCTCATCAAACATCTTCTTTTGTTGCTCACAATACGAGATCCCTCAAATAAGTGAGGGACACCCTTATAGGGCTCACTCCACATTGTATTTTACTAATCCAAACTATCTACTTTTTAGATCATTTCTGTATAAAAAAAAAAAAAATCATTTGAATTCGATATCATTTAACCACTCAATTGAGTTATTGAAATTTTAGTACTTTCTTAAAATACCGTGTTCATTAATTTTGTAGCATATAATTGAATGTATAAAAGATTTTCGATTTGTCTAATTTTTTGCGAAGATGATCTATGAATATAGATTTAAAAAATAGATTATTTGGATTATTGATATTTTTTTTGTAGGGGACCTTAAATGGTGTTTCCTCAAATAAACACTATTTGAGAGATTGGGAGCTCAGCCGTTGGATCTCGAGGTATGATCAATTATGATTTGTTTGTTTAATTGATAATTTGATATGCATTTTGATTAAATTAATTGATATTAATTTTCGTTAGATGAATTGATATTGATTTTTGTTACATTGAAAATCCTTAAATGAACCAAGGTGGTTGGTGTGAGTGGTTCGGCACTTTCATTCCTTAAGAGAAGGTCAGGGGTTTGATCCTTGCTCTCGTATGGAGTCACCACTTTGGCCAGCACTTTACCCCTTACGGGCCGACCCGGTGTGAGCGGGGATTAGTCTGGGTTGTGGTTAAGGCTTAAAGGTGCCACCCATAGTTGGGGCCCATCCAGGACCACCTCGTGGTTCAAACCAAAAAAAAAAAAAAATCCTTAAATGAGGGGCGCGATATGCACACACACCCATACAACCTGTGGATCCGCCATTGCTTCACACAAGCTCTTGGCTTAATGGTGAAAAATGGTCGAAGCTCGAATTTTCGTTTTTCAATAAAAAATTATAATAATAAGTAAAGAATACACCAAAAATTTGAAATCACATGACGAACTTTGGATCAGTACCTCGAGCCAACTCGGCAAGTTCTGGAAGCCGAGCCGAGTGAAGCCGACGGACCAGTGCAAAATCTGCTGGTTATTAACTCTCACTCATGTGACGTCATCGTGTCAGGAGTCGATGAGGTCACGACATCTAACCGGGGACTTGGATGATGCCACGTGGTCGAATTATTGGCACACTTATGGCACCGAAATCCCGCGCAAGTGCACGTTTCCCACGCTCTTCTAAGCGCGTGTTGTTGTTACATTTTCCAAGGCATCTGTGAGAAAATTGTTTCAAACGCGCATGGGGCGATTGGGGCAAGTACCAATTTGGCACCCCCTATGATTTTTTGGTTAGTTTCCAATTGAATACGTCCATCAAAACGTCCACTTGATTTTTATTTTAATTTTCCTTTTAATTGTCCTTCACTTTCTCTCTATTTATCCATCCAAACACTTTCTTTCCGGGAGAGTCCAGGAAAATAATAACCTACTTAACCCCTCTCATCATAATCACCAACTTATACACACACAAAACTCTTTTTAGCTGAAGCCCTTTTGTCCACTAGAAATGAACAACAATTCTACCCAACAAAGCAATGGCCATGGCCACCAAATTTCCAAGCCCAAAAAAAAAGGCAAAACCAAGAAGCAGGGGATCAAAGTGGTTTACATCTCCAACCCAATGAAGGTGAGGACGAGTGCCTCAGAATTCAGGGCTCTGGTTCAAGAGCTCACTGGCCAAGACTCTGAGCTCCCGGACCCAGCTAGGTTTTTGGAGCACTCATCTGCAGAAGACAACAATTCGACGGCCCAGATTGGTGGACATCATCATCATCGCCATCATCATCTTCTTCGTCATCATGATGCATTGGATCTAGTGGTGGCTGATGCTGCTTCTCCTCCTGCCCAAGAGCAGCCTGCTGAGAGTTCAAGCTCAAATGTGAACACCCAATATCCTGATGATGAGCTTTATGATGATCTTTTTGTGCCTGAAATGATGGATAGCTTTGGGGGGTTTTTGCCCTCCAGTGTCTTGTATGGATCCTCTTAACTGCTCCTTTTGCTTAATGTTGATGTGTGTGCTTCAAAATTAAGCCACCCATATGCAATGTAATTTGGTAAGTTTTTCTTTTTCTTTTTCTTTTTCTTTTTCTTTTAATGGATTTACTAAGCTTATTTATAACTCTTGTGCTGTTTGTTGAATCTTAATTCTGCTAATTAATTATTTAATTGTCTCTCATATATATATATCTATAGTTCTACCTGTCTTTTTTTTTAATTGAATCTAAATATATCCATGTATATGTTGATAATGATAGTTTGTGGGATTTTGTTAGAATTTAAACAAAAGAACTAGGGGTTCAATAAATCACTTAGCTAGGTCTCAAATAAAAGTTTCACAGCCCTTCCAGTGCTGGCATGAAGATCAACGCTGGAACTCACTCACTCAGATATACATACATGTATACATATACACACATATATATATATGTATATATATAATATTGCAGTGCTTGGCTACTTGCATTCGTGTGGTGATGGGTATAAAGGTACTAGCCTGTGAGTTTACGATATATATTTGTCCTTTACATATACTTTCCAAGGGTTCCTTTTCTACTTTTGGCTTGTTGTGTGATGATATGGTTTATCAGCCTTAATCAGTGCTTTTAATTTATGTACTATAAGGATGTTTTGCATCATGAGCAGGAACCATGAAATTGATGCACCAACGCACACGCGTGAAAGAAAATGTCTCTCTAATTAATCAGCAGAAAAGACAACTAATTTTGATTTCAGTTCATAGATTAGAAACCACAGATTAGGATGTAAATGGTCAAAAAGGATAAAAAAAATCAAAAACATCATGCCCAAAAAGTATCAAAAATTCAAGTCTGAGGGTAACCATCGCGATAATTAGATGAGAGTCGTGTCTGATGTGACTATGAGACAAAATCAAACACATCATGCCCAAAAAAAGTATAAAAAATTCCTCTTCATCATGCCTTTTCTCTGCACATTTTTCACCTCTTTCTAGTGATCCAGCCGAGTTCATAGAAAGTAAAACATGAGGAGAGAGAGAGGTCGTTCTGTATCTTGTGCCCCAAGATGCAAATATATAAGATTCTGCCCTAGGGAGGATATTATTAACACAGAGATTTCTCCATTGGATGGAAGCGTAAGCAACTTGAATTTCAAGTAATAATGGTAATTCTCCTAAAGGTAAAAAGGATTTATTTAATCTTTATTCTCACTTTCATGGAAGTTTTGCACATATCAATAACGAACTATATGAGTTTCTCCAATTGCATTTTCTTTTAAAAAAACTGAACCCAACTATTAGAAGACAAATTGATTACAGAAGGCTGAGGCGGTTTACATGGTATTAGATAATTTACTTTCTATTTCTGTTAGAATAATTTGGTTTACTAATGCAAAGCCTTGGGTCGTCGTTTTATAGCGAGCATAGATTGGTGTTATCAGCATTGATCTATACTAATCATATATGTTGCAGGATTTTTCTAAGCTTAAACCTATGTAGATCCTAGAAAGGAATGCTTAAAATAGAGAATGGACGCAAGCATGAGAGAGAGAGAGAGAGAGAGAGAGAGAGAGAGAGAGAGAGAGAGAGAGAGAGAGAGAGAGAGACAAATCCTAGGGGAAACAATGTTCTTTGATTTTTGGTAGATCTGTGTCAATCTGCTCATGTTGATTATTAAAGAGAACTCCATCAACTTAAAAAAAAAGGCACATACTGAAATAAACCAGAAATATCTCTAAGAATGTGATAATAAACCAAAAAAATTAGCGCAATATTTCCTCTTCGCCTCCCAAGGCATCTCGTCCTATTCGACTTAAGAGTGCAACTATGCTCATTTTAGGGCATTTACGTCATTTTTGAGGTCCATCGTCATTTTGATTTTGGGCTTTATCTGCATTTCTTTTGGGCTCTAGCTCTCAAACTTTGGACCCTTATGAGTACTGTCTTAGGGAGAGTTTATTCAAGCAAATATTTCTTCAATACGTAAGAGTTAGGTTATTCTTGTAAACTCTTTGTGAATTGAACATCTAAGACTTTTTACCTAAATTGACCTTAGTGCCTTCATGAATTCATGTCATATGTAAAAATTTATTTTATGTAAAAATATTGGCAAGTATAAAAAAAATGGTTTTTCGGAACAATCATTTTCTCAAGTTAATTTTTGGTTGCTTTTATTCCTTGCAGATCAAAAAAGAAAACTTGATTTTATGGGATTTTAGTATGAAGTATATATTGACTTAATTGGCCATAAATTTTAGCCTAAATCGCATTTTGCTCTAAAACCAATTTTTCATATTTTGATTTGGTGGGAATTTGATTTTCTAGTATTTTTATTTGAATCCAAATTGGGGGGGGTGGGTACTTCCTTATTTACCTTATTTAACTTAAGTAAATGGAGTAATATAAAAATAAATGAAAGTAAAAAGACAAAGACATTTACTTAAATGCTGAAAATGAAAATAAGGTAATCTGTACAATGTCGTTGTTTTGACATCAGGAAAACAAAAACAAAGGAAGCACTAAGCGAAAGCAGCCCGCACCTGCCTGTTGTGCTACGCCCTCTGGAGCATTTCATCAAACAATTTGTGGGCAATTTGCAGGGGTCAACATCTTTGCCTCCAAAGGTGGATTTAGGTCTTGAAAGGTCAATTAACCCCTCGTGCCTCTATGTGGATTTGCCA